CCCCCCCCTCAGCCTCCCAAAGTGCTGGGATTACAGGCTGAGCCACCGAGCCCGGCGGGCCTGACTTTCAGTGAGTCGACAGATTCAGGGGTGTCCTCTCCCTGCTCCTCAGGCGGGCCCAGATCACTCAGCATAAGGTCAACTCTCAGTCCAACCCATCCAGCCCTGGATTCTGCCCCAGAGAGGAAGTCCAAGGATATTCTGTGGCAGCACGGGGTGTTTCTTTTTTTTTTTTTTTCATTTTGAGTCAGAATCTCACTCTATTGCCCAAGGTTGGAGTGCAGTGGCATGCTCATGGCCACCGTAGCCTCGACCTAATAGGCTCAGGCAATCCTTCCATCTCAGCCTTCCAAGTAGCTGGAACTACAGGCATGTGCCACCATACCTGGTTGATTTTTTTTTTTTTTAATTTATTCTAGTGACGAGGTCTCACCAAGTAGCTCAGGCTGGTTTCAAACTCATGGCCTCAGGCAGTCCTCTTACCTCCATTTCCCAAAGTGCTGGGATGACAAGCATGAACCACCACCCCTGGCAGGGGTGTTTCTTTGCATAGCGGCGGCCTCAGGTTAGGGGCCTGCACTGTACTTCTTAGTTTCTCTTAATAAGCCATTCGTGGTCATTCCTAACTTTTATTTGACCCTGTTTATGTTCTGAGTATGTATCACCTCTATAACTTTGCAGTTTAAAATAGATTGTTCCCCAGGAACACAAGCTCAGGTTCTACTTTTCATTGATCTTAGACTTTGAAGCGTGTCCCTTCCTTGACTGGGCTGAGATTTGATGAAAGAGGTTATTTTCACCCTTCCCACTCCCTTGGCATGGCTCTGTGGACAGAAGACAGAGCCCATTCAGCCTTAAGTCTCCAGTTCCAGAGACCCTCAGAAAACCAGGTCATGGCCGGGCTCGGTGGCTCAGCCTGTAATCCCAGCACTTTGGGAGGCCGAGGTGAGTGGATTGCCTGAGCCTGAGGGTTCGAGACCCGCCTCAGCAACTTGGCGAGACCTCATCTCTACAATGAATCAAAAATCAGCCGGGCGCGGTAGCACGCTCCTGTAGTTCCAGCTCCTTGGAAGGCTGAGGCGGAAGGATCGCCGGAGCCCAGCAGGTCGAGGCTGCGGTGGCCGCTCCTGGCACTGCACTCCAGTCTGGGCGACACAGTGAGACTCCAACTCAAAAAAAAAGAAAGAAAGAAAACCAGGTCACCTTTGTAGACAAAGGAGTGATGGGGGTGGGTCTGGGACACTCAGGAACAACCCAGTTTCCCAGCACAGAGCAGCAGTCTCCCTGTTGCTGGAGAACCTGAAACCATCCCACACCAGATGCAGGTGTCTTGGCCACAGGGATGTAGCAGGAAGGGCAAGGATAAGGGAGTCCCATGCGGGGGCAGCATGAGGGCCAGTGCTGTCACAAGAGTGAAATCTACTCTTCACACTGTGAAGGAGGCAGCTATTTAAAGAGAAAAAACATGCACATGACTAGCAACTTGAGATAAATTCAGGAACATTCCAACAAGTACAGAATAAGAAGGTATATACACGAAGTATAAAAGCTGAAAAGACACATCATCAGAAAGATAGGAGTAGGGCTGATTAAGAAGTGCCTTTTTGCCGGGCTTGGTGATTCACACCTGTAATCCCAGCACTTTGGGAGGCCAAGGTGGAAGGATTGCTTGACCCCAGGAATTCAAGACAGCCTGGACAACATAGCGAGACATCACTAAAAAAAAAAAAAACACTTAACCAGACATGGTAGCATGCACCTATCCCAATTACTCAGGAAGCTGAGGTAGAAGGATCACCTGAGGTCAGATGTCAAGGCTGTAGTGAGCCATAATCATGCCACTGCACTCCAGACTGAGCAACTGAGTGAGACCCCGACTCAAAAAAGAAAAAAAAAAGGCAGTATCTTCTCAATGAGGAGCTTCAGAAGTGCTGTTCAAAATCCGTTGGCCATTCTACATGAGCTTGTGATTTTGTTCTAGCAGGTAATAGTCCCTCACGAGACAAAGACTCTTACCACTGGGATTTTCAAGGCTGGGACAGTTTTCAGCAGTCTTAGAACTCTCGGACTCTCCATGGGGAGTCTAGCCATGCTGTTGCCAGGGAGCATCTTCTGAGTATTTGGGGCCATCGCATCTGCTATCCTCTTTCCACCATCCACCTATCCTCAGTTGAATGTGAAATGCTTGCTTCCTACCAAACGCGCCTCCTTCCTCTGTCTCCTAGGGTCTTTCTTTTCTTCCAATCCCGTTTGTCTTCCATTTCTTCTTTTCCTTTGCCCCTGCCAGTGGGTCACCCCCGCTAGGAATCTCAGAGCCCCGGGACTGTGACACCCGTGAGGCCCTTCTTCATGGCTGCTCCTCTTCCCTGGCAGGTGATTGAACTGTGCCGCCCGCTGGACTCCCGGCTTGAGCATGTGGACTTTGAGTCTCTCTTCTCATCTCTCAGCGTTCGCCACCTGGTCTGTGTTTTTGCCTCCCTGCTTCTGGAAAGGAGGGTCATCTTCATTGCAGACAAACTCAGGTACTCACCTTGGCACCTTCTGCTAACGTATTTGAATGCCAGTCGGTCTTGGACGCTCATGTCTGTAGAGTAGGTGATTGCCTCAGGTTGAGAGTAAGCCCTGGGAGAGGAGGAGGAAAGCCAGTGGGAACTCACACCCATTGTGGAAAATGAGGTAAGTCTGTGCTCTGTGCTTGACTTCTGGGATGTTCTCCAGAAAACCTGCTTTCCACTCATTGTGCTGCTTGCCAGGCACTCTGCTGAGTGGTAGGGAAACAAAAAATATACAGACATGTGCTCAAAAGTTCTCAGTACAGAGAGAAGAGAGAAGTAAACAGACCACCCAGGACCATCGGGAGGTAGTTGGAGGCAGTGACGTCCTGGGGACCTAGTGAAGCCACCCTCTCCTAGGGAAGGCAAGTTCTGAGTGCCAAGGCTTGGAGCAAGTAGAAAGCAATTCTACTCTCTACCAGGTAAGGAGACGGGGGAGGCTAAACCCTCACCTCCAGGGACCGCAACATAGCTCACTAGCACTGGGGCAGAGAGAGGAAGGAGGAAGAGGAGCTGGCAGAGGTGAATGGAGGTCAATTCAGGGAAGGCTGCAGGCCATGCTCAAGAGCAGATTCATCCTAAAGGCATCTTTTCTCTTGCAGTTGAAGTAAATCCCATCACACACACACATACACGTGTGCACACACAGCCTAGTGGGATGCCACCCACATCCCAGTGGTCACTTTCAGTGATTTGCAGAGGCCACATCACAAATCAAAGAAGATCCAGAAAGAAATGCAGATAGGGATTTGGGTCAGTCCTGAGCTTCTAAAAAAAGAACAATTCCTTGCATTTGCATCATTTCAAAATACTGAATTAGAGCCTTCTTCGCTTTGGAACCAAGGGCACAGCAGCGTGAGGGTGACTGCAGCTCTAGGAAGAGCCAAGTCGTGGGGCTAGCCAGGAGACGCAGATGAGGCCACCTGAGAGGTCCATCTGGAAGGAAGCACTGCCAGAAACCAGAAGACCGAGGCCCTGTGGTTTAGAGAGGAAATATGGCTCTGAACTATGGAAAACAAAAGGAGGAAGAACAAAAGAGATAGAAGAATGGGAAGGCCAAAATGTCCCCACATGGGATTGTCAGGAGGTGTGGTGGGAAGGGGCCACCTGACCTTGTCCTCCTGCTGCAGCACATCTGGTCACGTTTGTGACGTGCCTCTTTGGACTGCAGCCACTTGGCCCTTCCCAGCCCACTCCCACCCTGTTTTGTAGTTAGCTATTCACTCTTCAATGTCATGGCTGTTATACTCCCCATGTACATTGTCAGCTCAGGAAGCAGGCACTGTCTTTAAGCCTGCAGCTGGTGCTGGGCACTGGGCAGCTTTCCAAGCCCTGAGGCGCTGGGGAATTCAGACTGGGAGTTCTCAAGTTTGGGCCTGGAAACACAGGATGCCTAATAACCCTTTGGTGGCCAGGATCGGATTTTGTCAGCACTGTGGTGACCGTCTGCCCTCCATTCCCTCAGGATAGGGCTCTTGGGCTTGGATTTGCAGAGGGGAAGCACTGGATTTCAGAAAGGCCTAGGCAAGAAGCGGAAGGCCAGCCAGGTAGACCTAGTAAGCCGATCACCCACCGGGAGTGGAGTTGGGAACAAACAATCCCCAGAGAACTTACTTCTGGGGTAAAAATATTAGACTTGGGGAGGGTCCAGCCTGAGAATGTCAGAGGGATCGGCAAGGCTGGAAAGGAGCAGTGCCTCAGCCTCCTCCAGGGAGGCAGAGAACAGAAAATATCCTCTGTTTTCCTGGTCAAAGTACAAAGAAAGAAAAGGTGTGAACAGAAAAGAGGAAGGAAGGAGCCGTGTCCAGGAAAGCACATCCCAGAAGGGCAGTGCAGGGAACATGTCAGGAGGCTCAGAGCATCATGGAGCCTGGAAACGCCTGCTACAAAGGGCTTATCTGAACTTAGGCCCCTTATGGTGCTGGGATAGGATTTGGCAGTCTTTCTTTCCCTGGACACATTTCTGGATTGACAGGTTGTACACCGGACCAGTCCCCCTACCCACCCACACACACAGAGCTGCTGTCCTAAGAGACAAAGGAAAAATGAAAGGATCCCAGTGACCGCGAATGGACCCTGCTGTGGTCTCTAGGCCTTGGCTAGTTCCCCAGGCCCCTCCCTGGCCCGGCCCCACTCTGGGGCCCCTTGGCAGACGAGACAGGTCACCTGTGTTGTCAATAGAAGGGATTTTGGAGTCTCTCTCGTCATCCCCCATTCCATGGGGTCTGGCATTCTGCCCTTAGAGATTTAGTCTTTTCAAATTGCACACTCCGTAAGCGAGTCAGACACCAGCTGTGGCCGCCCAAGCAGGTCTCCCCACTGGCAAGTGGTGCTGCGCATTGGGGGTTTTCTTCAGCTGTAGCTGTGGAGTCGAGATTTCTGTAGGGGAGGAGGAGACCACAGGAACATAGATCATTTTGGTGCTCTCCTTAGAGCTGGAGCCTGAGCCAGGAGATGGTGCAGTAATTGTGTGTGCATGTGTGTGCATAATACCTGAATTGAGTTTTTAGGCCCTTTGTAGTTTTCAGACATCCATATCCCTCTCTCGTTACCCAGGACATTTTCCCAGAGTTGGGAGGACCCCTGAACATCCTTAGCTCTTGGCCCTGAGTCTCCCCATTCATGAGGCTCAGGGCTCGTCTGAACTTGGGCCCTTTGTGGTGCTGGCTTTCAGGGGCTTTGGTGTCTGATTTTCCCAGAAGGCATCCCTTGCCTTTCTTGTTACAAATGGCTCAATATGCTTTCTCTCTTGCCCAATATATTATCTTTGCATCCTACACGAGTTCCAGACAGACCTGGAGATGGGAAAATAAATAAATCAGGCCCAAAGAGATCTGAGACAGGACAAGAAGAAAACAAAGAGTGAGCGCACCTACCTGGAATAGTCATTTCATGCTCTCTCCAACCCTGTCGGATGTTATCAGGAAACACAGGCACATAAAGGACCAGTCATTTTGCTCAAAGAAGCAGGCAGTAGGAGAGCTCCCTGACTCTGGAGAAGATGGAGGGAGACCAACTGGGCCTTAGTGGTCTGGAGATGGGTGAAGAGTGGCATCTGCACCCTCTCTGACTCTTTTTTTTTGAGTCAGAGTCTCCTTCTATCACCCAGGTTGGAATGCAGTGGCACACTCATGGCCACCACAGCCTCGACCTGCTGGGCTCAGGAGATCCATCCGCCTCTGCCTTCCAAGTAGCTGGAACCACAAGCATGTGCCACCAGCCCAGCTAATTTTTTATTTATTGTAGAGACAAGCCCTCGCCATGTTGTTCAGGCTAGTCTCAAACCCCTGAACTTAGGCAATCCTCTCACCTTGGCCTCCCAAAGTGCTAGGATTACAGGCATGAGCCACTGCACCCGGTGGAAAGTCTCTTTATAACAGCCTGTTAGGACTCATTTGCACTTGGCAGTCAGGTCAAAATTGCTACTAGGAAGTCTGCTTTTCTCTTCAGTGCCCTCCTTCCTTCTCTTATGGCCTTTGCCCTTCAGGTAGGGTCCCAGTGAGGCAGGTGGGGCTGAGGACCCCCGAAGTCTCTCCTGGCTCTCAAGTTCTCTGACTCCGTCGGCCAGGTGGAAGGATATGTATCCACGTCTGTCTTGTTCAATTTGTGGGGAACTAGCCATAGAGAATCGAAGGGTTCCTTAGCCAGGCCATGACAAGCAAGGGTTTGGGCACTGATGGCTGGCTGGCTTGGAATTGTCTGATCTGGAAAATTCTGTGAGGAGAGTCTTCAGCGTAAGTGACAGCTGCTGCTCCAATCCTCAGTACCCTGTGACTGCACATGCACTGATTCCGAGCCCTGTCAGTGGAAAGGGGAAGAAAGCTGCCTCATTCTCCTGATTTCCCTCTATAGCCACAATCTCAGTGAGGCCACAGTGCAGGGCATGAGGACAGGACATGTCACAAACTCACGAGCGACCCTATGACATCACAGAGGGGACCTCTGCCTGCTCCAGGTCTGTTGTCGCCACCCCAGCCCTCTCCCCCACACACGGTTCATTTCCTCATCATGGCTGTGTGTCTCCCCACTGCAAGAGGAAATTTCAAGGAGTTATGGCAAATATTGCATAAGTTACCAAAAGGTTTTAAGTTGAGCCAAAAATCTGTCCAATTTAGAATAATATTTTTGCTCTGTTTCATCTTTAGGATGGACATTGAGTGTTTCTAAAGGCTCTGTCAAGCCAAAGTTTGACAAATGGACAGGAAAGAATGTTGTTGTGATAGCTTGTTCTGTCATCATAACAACCCAAATAAATATTTCTCTGTACCATGTCTTCATTTTTCTGATGATAAACATTTTGTTTTTTAGTTTACTAATTTCCGTTCCCCAAAGTAAGAGTCCTATATCCGCTCTAGAATCTGCTCTACTCAGAAACATGTGCCATCTCAGAAGAAGGTTAGACTTGTGAGCATGCCCTCTTTAGGGAGATGAGTTTACCCACAGCCTGCCTGGAAGTGTTGGTTACTGCCACCCTAGTGCTCTGGTATCCAGAATATAATCTCAGAGGCTGGCCCGGTCCTCAGAGTGGTTGACAGCATCTTAGAGACAAATACAGGTAATTCAGAAAAGTCCTATGAAAAATACAATTTTAATAGTATAATAGTACAGTCTGATTAAATATTGAGTACTAACCATCTATTTTGCATATGAACACCAGGAAGACACCACTAGGAGCAAGAGTTAGAGGCTAGTCCTCACAACTAACATATTCTCGGGATGGAAGCTTATTCCAGTTCTCTGGGAGTCCAATCCCTCCCGGGCCAGGCTGACTTGGCATCATCATCTTTCTCTTTTAGACATACTACAGTGACTGGAAACCTTGCAGACACATCTCTCTATCAGTTGCTCAGGGTGAGATGTCATGTCCTGTCTTAGCTAAGGAGCCCTAGAATAACTTCTGGTGAAGAATTACCTTTCTTTTTATGGCCCTAGCAGAAAGCCCCTAATTCCAACTCCTGGCCTTTGCTCTTTCTTAGTGGTTTGTAGTATGTAGGCATTAAAGCTGGAAGGACATTAGATGTCCTCTAGTCTACTTTACTTACTGTACAGGTGAAGAATCTGGCTGAGAGAAGGTAAGGGCTTGACCTGAGATCATACAGGAAGTAAGAGAACTCGTCTTCTTGAGGCCCAGGCTGTGTTCTCTTTAAAGTCTGTGGCACACTGCTACAGGGTTTGAAAGTTCAGTGATGGGCCGGGCTTGGTGGCTCAGCTTGTAATCCCAGCACTTTGGGAGCCCAAGGCAAGTGGATTGCCTGAAACTGTGTGTTTGAGACCAGCCCAGGCAACCTGGCAAGACTTTGTCTCTACAATAAGTAAAAACTTAGCCAGGCATGGTAGCGCGCACCTACAGTTCTGGCTACTTGGAAGGCTGAGGCAGACGGATTGCTGGAGTCCAGCAGGTTGACGCTGAGGTGGCCATAAGTGTGCCACTGCACTCTGGCCTGGGCAACAGAGTAAGACTCCAACTCAAAAAAAAAAAAGTTCAGTGATGAAAACATGGCAGCCACTGCTTAGTGGCACCCACCACATGGCAATATGCACCAGGCACCAAACCACACTGAGTTTACCTTTCACTTGAAACTAATGCAGCAGTAGGAGAGAGATTTTGCTTGGGATGCTAAAAATACTGACTGAACATCCTTCCAATTCCTGGGGTGTTTGTCCAATTTGGGAAACTTCATTTACTTTTCTTATAGCACTTAGGGGATGCTCTGTGCTAGATCTTTACTGGTTCAGAGACAGCTGGATCCTGTCAAGCATAGGAATCCCAGATATGGCCCAGAGGCTAGGTTGCAACCAGTGCTGAAGCATCTTCTTCAGAACTGTAGCCCCCACAAGTGTATCCTGATGTTCTGGAAAATGCTTCAGCACTCAGGAACCACCACCCAATAGTGAACAACTAGAATCCAACCCTTCTTACCTGTGCCTTTTAACCCTGTGATCCAGCAAACCTCCCACTCTGGCCTTCTTTTTCCTACCTCACTTTTTTTTTTTTTTTTTGATTTGAAGTCTCACTCTCACCCACGCTGGAGGGTAGTTCCACACTCCTGGCAACTACACTCTCAACCTGCTGGGCTCCTGCGATCCTTCCACCTCAGCCTTCTAAGTAGCCGGAACTACAGGCACGTGCTACCACGCCTGGCTAATTTTTTTATTTATTGTAGAGACAAGGTCTCACCAAGTTGCCCAGGTGGGTCTTGAACCCATAGGCTCAGGCAGTCCTCTCACCTCGGCCTCCCAAAGTGCTGGCATTACAGGCTGAGCCACCGAGCCCAGCCTCCTACCCCACTTTTGCACAATTGGTCACTGCTGTGAGAGCTGGTGTTTCTTTCCTCCACTCCCACTGTGCTGTGAGCCAGCTGCAGGGCTGTCTCCATGGGACTTCCTTCAGAAACACTGCCTCTCCCCCAGCCAGCTGGTGCTCGCTAAGGCCACATGGCAAGCTCACCGAAGAGTCATCCTTAGCATTCCAGAACTACTACCTACACTTCACAGATTCCTAAGAGGCCACCTGTCCAGCAGTGTCTGCTCCATACCTCCATGAGGGCTCCTCTAGCCTTCATGAGCCTGGGAATAAAATTTCATTAGCGGATTGGGCTGTGCGGAGTCGCGCCGCTCCCATCCACGCAGAGTGCTGAGGCTAGGCCACAAACTCGCTCGCCATGTCGGCTGCGGAGGCGAGGGGTGTGTTCCACCGAGCCCTAGGTAGGACACTGGACATGTTTCCCGCAGAAAAGGAAAGGGAATGGAAAGGCCCGTTCTACTTCATTCAAGGTGCAGACCCACGGTTTGGCTTGATGAAGGCCTGGTCCACCGGAGACTGTGACAGAGGTGGTGACGAATGGGAACAGGAGATCTGTCTAACTGAGCAAGCTGTCCAGGCCATCAACAAGCTGAACCCCAAACCCAAATTGTTTGTTCTGTGTGGCGATCTCATTCATGCCATGCCAGGGATGCCCTGGCGGAAGGAGCAGACGGAGGACCTCCAGCAAGTGCTCAGGGCGGTCGACAAGGAGATTCCTCTGGTCATCGTCAATGGCAACCATGATGTGGGTAATGTGCCCATGGCCGAGACCATCAAGGAGTTCTGCCAGACCTGGGGAGATGACTACTTCAGCTTCTGGGCTGGGGGTGTCCTGTTCCTGGTCCTCAATTCCCAGTTATTGTACGATGCCTCCAGGTACCCCGAGCTGAAACAGGCTCAGGACCAGTGACTGGCCCAGCAGCTGAACATCACAAGACCGTGGCAGTATCAGTGTGCTATTGTCTTCCAGCACATCCCATTGTTTCCACAAAGCATTGACAAGGACGACGACTACTTCAACCTCACCAAGTCTGTCGGGAAAGAGGTAGCAGACAAGCTCATCAAAGCAGGTATCAAAGCTGTGTTCACAGGTTACTACCACAAGAATGCTGGGGGCGCCTACCAGGACCTCGAGATGGTGGTGTCATCTGCCATCAGATGCCAGCTAGGCAGAGACACCCATGGGCTCCGGGTCGTGGTGGTCACCACTGAGAAAATCATTCCGTTACTACAGTTTAGATGAGCTGAGTGAGAAAGGAATAGAAGACGATCTCATGGATCTGATGAAGAAAACACGATGGCCCTTTATGATCGATTACATTTTACTTCCACTCTTTTTTATTTTGCCAGAAACAGCAATTGCACACAGCCCCTTGCTGAAATATAAAAGTAGTCTAGGTAGGTTTGTGCATGTGTGTCCTACTGCATAAATCAGAAGGTTGGATCCAATCCTGAATTATATTCCAAATAGAACTGCACTCCCTCTAAAAAGGAGAGAGCCTAGAAATAATTTTTTAAATGATAATAAACTATCTCTGCATAAGCATTTGAATAAAGAATAAAAAAAATTAAAAATAAAAAAATTTCATTAGCACCTGCAGTAGTGATTGACCAAAACAAACTCCACTAAAATATTTATCTCATGCCTGGTATCCCAGCACTTTGGAAAGCAGAGGCAAGAGGATTTCCTGAACCCAATAGTTCAAAACCAGCCTGGACAGCTTGGTCTACAATAAATCAAGAAAAATTGGCCAGGCACGGTGCCTCGCACCTATAATCCCAGTGCATTGGGAGGCTGTGGTCAGAGAATTTCCTGAGCCACGGGTTCAAGACCAGTGTTGGCAACTTGGCAAGACCTCATCTCTACAATAAATCAAAAAATTAGCTGGGTATGGTGGCATGTGACTGTAGTTCCAGCTACTTGGAAGGCTGAGGCAGAAGGATCACCTGAGCCCAGCAGGGCGAGGTTTTGGTGGCCATGAGCGTGCCACTACCCTCCAGCCTGGGTGACAGAGTGAGACTCTGACTAAACAGTAATAATAATAGGCTGGACTCGGTGACTCAACCTGTAGTCTCAGCACTTTGGGAGGCTGAGGCGAGTGGATTGCCTGAGCTTGTGGGTCCGAGACCAGCCCAGGCAGCTTGGCGAGATCTCGGATCTCGTCTCTACAATAAAAAATAAAAAATTAGCTGGGCATGGTAGCACACACAGTGTAGGCAACTTGGCGAGACCTCGTCTCTACAATAAATGAAGAACAATTAGGTGTGGTGGCACATGCCTGTAGTTCCAGTTACTTGAAGGCTGAGGTGGAAGGATCACTGGAGCCCAGCGGGTCAACACTAGGGTGGCCGTGAGCCTGCCACTGCACTCCAGCCTGAACAACAGAGTGAGGCTCCAACTCAATAATAATAATAGCAATAATAGTATTCTCCTTTTTCTTCTATCACTTATTTTGGGGGCAACACTGCCAATATGGTATTTGCAGAATTTTACCTTTCCTTTTGGTGTTTCATGAGGCAGAATTGTTTCTAGAATCCTGATGTGAGCTAGAGGACAAGAGGGATGAGACACCCCTCAGTAATGGCCAGCCTAGCCATATGTTCCCAGTACTCTATGCTCCAGAGGCTTCAGCCAGGAGGTGTTCAGATACCCAGGTATGGACACATTTCACTCCAGTGCATCAGCGAGATGAAACTGTCAAAAACAACACTCAGCTGAGTGTGGTGGCCCATGCCTGTAATGCCAGCACTTTGGGAGGCCAAGGTGAGAGGATTACTTGAGCCCAAGAGTTCAAGACCAGTCTGGGCAACATAGCAAGACCTCATCTCTACAAAAAAAAAAAATTTTTAATTAGCCCAGTGGCTGGGTACAGTGACTCAAGCCTGTAATCTCAGCATTTTGGGAGGCTGAAGCAAGAGGATTGCCTGAGCTCAGGGATTCAAGACCTACCTGGTCAACTTGGTGAGACCTCATCTCTACAATAAGTTAGAAAATAAGCCCAGCGTGGTAATGCGTGCCTATAGTTCCAGCTACTTGGAAGACTGAGGTGGAAGGATCACCTGAGCCCAGCAGGTCGAGACTGTGGTGACCGTGAGCGTGCCACTGCATTCCAGGGAGACAGAGTGAGACTCTGACTCAAAAAAAAAAAAATTACCTCAATGTGGTGGCTTGTACCCATAATCCCAGCGACTCAGAAGGCTGAGACAGAAGGATTGCCTGAGCCCAGCAGGTCGAGGCTGCAGTGAGCGGTAATGGTGCCACTGCACTCCAGCGACAACAGAGTGAGATCCTGACTCAAAAAAAACACTTGATACAGAAGATTGTTAATGGCGGCAGCACCCACCTACATGGGGAGAGGTGACCCAGCTGCATACTCATCCTTTACCCCGTCCAGCCTTTACCCCGTCCAGCATTCTTGAGTTTGATGCTACATGAGCTTTAGCTGTCTCTCTGTCACCTGGCATTGCTTGTCATCTTTCCTAACCTTGCTCTCATGACTGTCTTGTCCAGTGGGTTCACACTGCAGCTGAACTGGGGCCTCCAGGTGTCTCAGCCCACAGGGGCCTCCCTGTCACTGCAGGCAGCATAGGGCTTCACCCTGGAGTCAGTCACAAAGGGCTGTAGCAGAAGAGAGAAAGTAGGAGCCCACTATTCTTTCTCCTAGGGATAAGATGATTTTTTTTAATTGAAGTGATTGCAAAAATCATGTAGGCTATCCTCACTGTGCCTCCTTTTTTTTTTTTGAGTTGGAGTCTCACTCTGTCACCCAGACTGGAGTGCAATAGCCACTCCCGGCCACCGCAGCCTCGAACCGCTGGGCTCCGGCAATCCTTCCGCCTCAGCCTTCCCAGTAGCCGGAATTACAGGCATGTGCTACCACGCCCGGCTGATTTTTTGATTTATTGTAAAGATGAGCTCTCGCTGCCCAGGCAGGTCTCGAACCCGCGGGCTCAGGCAATCCACTCACCTCAGCCTCCCAAAGGCACGGGATTACAGGCTAAGCCACCAAGCCCAGCTGTGCCTCCTTTTTCATACATATAAGTGGTAGTTTTTTTTCAGACGGGCTGTCTCACTGTGTTGGCTAGACTGGACTCAAACTCTCAGGTGCTAGTGATCCTCCTGCCTCCTCCTCTGGGACTTAGTAGCTGGACTGCAGGTACATGCCACTGTACCAGGCTCTCACAGTGCCTTTTAACACCTCCACCCCTCTCTGCAGCTCTCCTGCCTCTTCCAGGGTGCAGGTTCCTTCTCTCCTCACCCTGT